ACGATGATATGGATCACAAGGACCTTGGTGTAATCAGCATATCTAACACCAGCCTGAAATAAGATGATTTAAATCACAAGGACCTTGGTGTAATCAGAATATCTAACACCAGCCTGAAATACGATGATATGGATCACAAGGACCTTGGTGTAATCAGAATATCTAACACCAGCCTGAAATACAATGATTGGATCACAAGGACCTTGGTGTAATCAGAATATCTAACACCAGCCTGAAATACGATGATATGGATCACAAGGACCTTGGTGTAATCAGAATATCTAACATACTAAAAAGCATCAAGATATTAAATATAAACCTAGTTAACTAACCTGTTTCACTCTGATATTGATGAAGAATAGTTACACTGTTTCAAGCCTGCATGGCAGCCATGTTATGAAACACCATACGGGAATTTCGCAAATATTCAGCTCTGACCAAAAAGAGAAATGTTACATTCTGCTTCATATGAATTAACAGAACTTAAGAATTTTTCGTTATTCAAACGTCATTTTATTTAACATTATCTTCACAATTCCCTCATTATCGAAGTTTGGAGTAATATCGATAAATATTACCAATACTACGATGTGTCACATGATGTTAGGATAATAAAATAGTCTAGCTTAACCAGGTCACCCCCTTTTCACGAGTGAAGCCGGCCACAGTGATGTCACATGATGTAAGAATAACTACACAGCCCAGCTGTACTTGGCACCCCCTTTTTTTTTACAAGTGAAACGAACCGTGACGTACCACATGATGTTAAAAAAACAAAAACAGTCTAGCTCCTCCTGGGCACCTCCTGTTTAGGAGTGAAGCGTGTGATGCTAGAATAACCATACGTCGACGTGCTCCTAAACACCTATATTTTACGAGTGAAGTGGAACACAATGTGTGACACGATGCTAGAATAACCACATGTCTACGTCACCTAGACACCTATATTTTACGAGTGAAGTGGGCCACAACTTGTCGTGGACTCCGAAACAATATCTGTAGTTGGGGCCTGAAAACCATTAAACAAAAGCCAAACACTGTATATGATAGGAACAAAGAATTCTGAAAACCGGAGTAACTCAACAAAAATCGATTACTCAGGTCAGAAACCGGACGAGTGGCAACCCCCTCAGCAAGTGCGCCCCCTCCCACGAGACGTCAAGCCAGGAGATGCTTCCGCACCCTCAGCACCATTTTTTTGGAGGAAAGATGCGGAATACGACATGATTTTAGAATAATTGCACAGCCTAGCTACATCTTTAGCATCCATATTTTTACTAACACTGGGCTGTTATCTGCCACTTCGTGTTAGAATAATCACCCGGACTGCTTACGATGTGTACGACCCCTTTCTAAGAGTAGACTGAACCGTGACGCAAGAAAGGAAAGCAGCTTCCCATTGAATTAGATCTGCTGCCACAACACGCACAGATCACATCCAGTGAATATTCATCTTTATATATATATGATTTGAAGTTAATGAAAAGGAGGACTGTGGAAATACCGTAAGTTATAAAATATTATATCT